GATGTATCCCACATTGTCACTAGCGGTGCGACATTGATTCAATCACACTTTTTTTTTTTTGAGATGGAGTTTTGCTTGTTGCCCAGGTTGGAGTGTAATGGTGTGACCCTGTCTCACCGCAACCTCCACCTCCCGGGTTCAAGCAATTCTCCTGTCTCAGCCTCACCAATAGCTGGGATTACAGGCATGTGCCACAACGCCTGGCTAATTTTGTATTTTTAGTAGAGATGGGGTTTCTCCATGTTGGTCAGGCTGGTCTCGAACTCCCGACCTCAGGTGATCTGCCTGCCTCAGCTTCCCAAAGTGTTGGGATTACAGGTATGAGCCACTGCACTTGGCCACTTTTTTTTTTTTTGAGAGGGAGTTTCACTCTTGTTGCCCAAGCTGGTGTGCAATGGCGCAATCTCAGCTTACTGCAACCTCCACTTCCCGGGTTCAAATGATTCTCCTGTCTCAGCTTCCCAAGTAGCTGAGACTACAGGCACCCACTACCATGCCCAGCTAATTTTTGTATTTTTAGTAGAGACAGGGTTTCACCATGTTGGCCAGGCTGGTCTTGAACTCCTGACCTCAGGTGATCCACCTGCCTTGGCCTCCCAAAGTGTTGGGATTACAGGCGTGAGCCACCATGCCCGACCAAATCACACTTCTTCCTCCCAAGTAGCTGGGGCTACAGGCGCCTGCCACCATGCCCGGCTAATTTTCTGTATTTTTAATGGAGATGGGGTTTCACTGTGTTAGCCAGGTTGGTCTCAATGTCCTGACCTCGTGATCCTCCTGCCTTGGCCTCCCAAAGCGCTAGGATTACAGGCATTGAGCCACTGTGCCCGGTCCCAAATCACTCCACTTCTGAGCTTTGGTCTTCATCTTTTAAAATGGGATAATGTACATAAAAGCAACCTGCTCATAGTAGGTGCTGGTAGGCAAATCAATCAAATTTAGGGTCTTCCTTTTGTTTTCCCAAGGTCTTTCATTGGACTGTGAATGGCTAAGAGGGAGGTGGCAGGAGAGTCCCTCGCAATGATTTGCTACACTGACTGATGCTCTCCAAGCACTGTCTGGTTCACAGGTGTTCAGTACTGAGATTATCATGGACTAATCCTGTGACACCAGTCCTACAAGTAACACATATATTCCATGGGAAGGGAACCTTGCTGTTCATACTTTATCCCAGAGGCTAGAACAGTGCTTGGCCTACACAGAAGGCACTCCAAATGTAAATATAACGTTGGGGGGTGGCGGGATATTGTTCTAGTCTCATTTGCAATTGGGCCCAGCAATACTGAACACAGGGAGCTGTGAAAACAAAATGAAAAATGAACATGAAAATACCCAGTGTTCTCTCTCCAGTGCACATTCAGAATTCAACAGATGAGAGTTTCCATCTTTCTTGTTGATTTATCCTCTTTTCATTCAGAATCCAACACAAAAGGATTCAAAAATTGCTGGGAAAAACATGGCCAAGGGTCCTATCTATGTACACATGGAATTTCCTTGCCACTATTAACACAGTGCGAAACTCATTTGGTTAGAATCCATGTGCCTTAAACATTTAATGCTCATATTGAGTTTATTCAATTTTCATTTATTATATATATATATTTGAGACGGAGTCTCGCTGTCACCCAGGCTGGAGTGCAGTGGCTCGATCTGGGTTCACTGCAAGCTCCGCCTCCCGGGTTCACGTCATTCTCCTGCCGCAGCCTCCCAAGTAGCTGGGACTACAGGCGCCTGCCACCACACCGGGCTAATTTTTTGTATTTTAGTAGAGACGGGATTTCACCGTGTTAGCCAGGATGGTCTCGATCTCCTGACCTTGTGATCTGCCTGCCTCGGCCTCCCAAAGTGCTGGGATTACAGGTGTTGAGTCACCACACCTGGCAAGTTTATTAAATTACATAAACATGCCAGATCATGGCTGCTCATGCCTGTAATCCCAGCACTCTGGGATGTCGAGGAGGGCAGATCACGAGGTCAGGAGTTTGCAACCAGCCTGACGAACATGGTCAAACCCTATCTCTACTAAGTATAGTACAAAAATTAGCCGGGTGTGGTGGCGCACACCTGTAATCCCAGCTACTCAGGAGCCTGAGGCAAGAGAATCGCTTGAACCTGGGAGGCAGAGGTTGCAGTGAGCCGAGTGAGCCGAGATCGTACCACTGCACTCCAGCCTGGGTGACAGAGACTCATTTCAAAAAAAAAACAAAAAACAAACAAAAAAATTACATAACTCTTTACAATATGAATCAATAGGAACAAAGTTTGGAATGGAATTTGGAAAGATAGAGTTGTGTTAGAATAAAGGAGTTCGGATGTGGTAGCTCCCACCTACAACACCAACACTCTTGGATGCCGAGGTGGGATCACTTACTTGAGCCCACGAGTTCAAGACGAGCCTGGAGAACACAGTGAAACCCTCTCTACAAAAAATACAAAAATCAGCCAGGCGTGGTGGCACACACCTGTAGTCCTGGTTACTTGGGAGGCTGAGGGGGAGGATCGCTTGAGCCCAGGTCAAGGCTGCAGTTATGATCTGCACCCCAACCTGCCCAGCAGATTGAGACCTGGCCTCAAAAACCAGTGAAAGGCAGCCAGGCGCGGTGGCTCATGCCTGTAATCCCAGCACTTTGGGAGGCTGAGGCGTGCGGATCACGAGGTCAAGAGTTTGAGACCAGCCTGGCCAACATAGTGAAACCCCATCTCTACTAAAAATACAAAAACTACCAGGCGTGGTAGCGGGCGCCTGTAATCCCAGCTTACTCGGGAGGCTGAGGCAAGAGAATTGCTTGAACCTGGGAGGTGGAGGTTGCAGTGAGCCGAGATTGTGCCATTGCACTACAGCCTAGGTGACAGTGCAAGACTCCATCTCAAAAAAAAAAGTGAAAGAAACAAAATGCCCCAACGAACATCCCTATCCTTATAGAGATAAAATCGGAATAAATTACTGTCATCACTGGAGACCAGCATGAGATCCTGTGAGGCAGTGGGAATTTTAGTGGTTGGGTTCATCACCTTGTCATGACACAAGAATGGGTCCAGAAAATGATCTGGGAAACTCTCCAGAAACTGAGTGAGGTTCCTTGGTTTGGCTGCCTAGTCTGCTTCTGAAACTACATGTTTTCAAAACAATTTCCCCCGTCATCTTCCTCATTCCTCAGATGATGCCTCATCGTCTTGTGACTGCTTCCGGTAGCTCCTTGGTAGGACATCTGCCACATCTTGCTGATCTTGCCTCCTCTGCTCCCTCCTATCACGGCTTTGATCAAGCAGGCCGGGTATCATCTGGGGTTGCATGCCCTGAACTGTTGGGTTCCCTGCATCCAATTCTTCACACTGCTGTCAGGTCTAGAGGCATAACCCTACTCCCTGCACCCTCCTATTCAAATACTTTCAATGTAACCCAGTGCTTACAGGATAAAGGTCAAATTCCTCTTCCTGGTTATCTATGGCCCTCTATGACACAATCCATTTTGTTAAACTCTAAATCTCCAGTATCAAACTCCTTGTTCCCTGGGCACAGTGCCCTGTGCTTTCCCAACTCCATGGCTTTGCTTACAGGCTTTCAATAGGAATGCATCCCACCTTACATCCCCAGAAGGTTCAGCTTAAGTGCTCTCTCTGATCCCAGATGAAGTTCTGACTCTGTTCTCTGAACATCCACTTGCCTTCATCATTAGCAACCAGATCACAAACTCCAGGAGGGCAAGAGACACTCTGCTTTTGTATTTCCAGTGAATTCTAAGATTTTGGTCTATCGGAAGCAATGGGACAGTTGTTTTAAGCCTAGGGACAGCCCCCAACAAATTCACAGGCAGCAGTCAAGTGAATCTCCTTCCCAAGATTTTGCTGCAGCATGTAATGAAAGCCCTCAAGCTTCCTCCCTGCTTTGATGTCCCTCAACAGTCCCTCAAGGCCTGGGACCAGATTGGAACCACTGTACTTCTGGTGCCTCCTAGAGAGCTAGGCCAAACAAGCAGTAGAATAATTAGGACAAAAGTAATCCAGTAGGCCAGGTGCAGTGGCTCATGCCTGTAATCCCAACACTTTGGGAGGCTGAAGCGGGCAGATGACCTGAGGTCAGGAGTTCGAGACCGGCCTGACCAATATGATGAAACTCCGTCTCTACTAAAAATACAAAAATTAGCCAGGCATGGTGGCGTGTACCTGTAATCCTAGCTACTTGGGAGGCTGAGACAGGAGAATTACTTGAACCCGGGAGGCGGAGGTTGTAGTGAGCTGAGACCATGCCATTGCACTCCAGCCTGGGCAACAAGAGCCGAACTCCATCTCAAAAAAAAAAAAAAAAAAAAAAAAAAAAGGGCCAGTCTAGTTTTTTCCCCTGGTTTTTATTAGTTCAGATCTTAAGGTGATGAGATCATGACACTGCAGATTCATGGCAATTTCGACAAACAGCACAGAACTCTATATTCATGAACAACTCATCTGGTAATACTCCAAGTTTCCAAACTGATTCATTCCTCATCAGCCTGGCCATAAGTTTCTTAAGAGAAAGGATGATAAATTCCTCAGAAACCTGCCTTTATTCTGTTGGGTGAGAAAAATCCTTTAGGAACGTGTTGGTTCCCTAAGATGGGTGATCCCAAGGAAGAGAACAGTCATTACACATGAACTTTTTTTTTTGAGATGGAGTCTCGTTCTGTCGCCCAGGCTGGAGTACAGTGGCATGATGTCAGCTCACTGCAACCTCCACCTCCCGGGTTCAAGTGACCCTCCTGCCTCAGCCTCCCGAGTAGCTGGGATTACCGGCGTGTGCCACCACGCCCAGCTAATTTTTGTATTTTTAGTAGAGATGGGGTTTCACCATGTTGGTCAGGCTGGTCTTGAACTCCTGACCCTGTGATCCATCCGCCTCGGCCCCCTAAAGTGTTGGGATTACAGGCGTGAGCCACTGCCCCTGGCCTACACATGAACTTTTTATGCTAAGACAAGACATATCAAGATATATCAGAAAGTACAACTTCAATTCAAGCACCATGAAATTTTGTCAAGCAAAAATAGTCTTTATTCAAATTTAATGGAAACAGGGGTCACTATACTTTGCAAGACGGGGAAAAATAAAATTAAAAAAAATTCTTTTCTTTTCTTTTTTAATATAAAACAATATAATCACAATACCAGAATATGGAACTCTACAGTTTATTTCCTATGGGTTACTGCAGGTATCAATTTTCCTCGACTGTGCTATTCACAACTTTGTTAAGTCCAAAAATATGAAACCAAAGTGGTAGGAAACTTAAGACTTAGCACTTTCACTAAATGGCATACATCAAAGGGCATCAATTCAAGAGCAAAAATGGTTGAACTCACCATACCTACCTACGTGGTCATTCCAGCCTTAGAGCCGTCCAGGTTACTGAGCTCCCTGTAGGAAAGGCCAGGCCTGAAAGCCAAGGCGTTTTGGATATTCTACTGTGGGCCATGAGTAAAAGGGGATTTTCAAAGAGAAAATTTTTTTCAGTCGAGCAGGAAGGCCTGGCGCCAGGAGGCTTTACTGAGAGGAAGCACTTAGATTTAACAATTATAGACACACCATTAGGGGAGTTAAAAATGTACAGCAGTGACATGTTCTACTCCAATCACTTGTGCTACGGCTACCAAACATGTACAAAAGACTTCTCGGGTAGTTCCAGCTGTGGCCGTAGCCAGTTAGGACCTTGAGTGGGACCTAGATCTAGATCGGGAGGGTGATCTGGAAGCAGACCTGGATCTAGACTTGGACCGAGATCGGGTTTTTGAAGCTGACTTTGATCTGGAGCGTGATTCTGATGGAAGGTTTGGTTTCGATTTGGAATTGGATCTCGACCTGGACCGGGTCTCCTGATTGGTGCCAGCATTCTCACTCTCCCCTCGACTTTCCCTCTGGCTGGATTCAGACTTGGCATGTTCCCGCTCCTTTGACATGGAGCGGGATGGAGATCTGGACTGGGAGCGGTCAGTGTCTTCCTTCTTCTTCTTCTTGCTGCTGCCGGCCTTGCTGTCTCGCTTGCTGCCTCGCTTTCTGCTCCTCTCACTTTTGCTGCGGCTGCGGCTGCGACTACGACTTTCCTCCCTGCTTCTCTTCCTGCCCTTCCTCTTGTCCTTGCTCTTGCTGCGGCTCCTGCTCCGGCTCCTGCTGCCCGCTTTGCTCCGGCTCCGGCTCCGACTCTGGCGGAGGCTCTTCTCCTGGCTCCTGCCCCTGCTCACACTCCCTCGCTTCTCCTCCTCCACTCTCCTCTCCTGACTCCTGCTCCGACTTTTGCTCTTACTTTTATGCCGGCTAGGACTCCGGCTCTTGGGTTTCCCGGCATTGTCATTGTTTTGGATCTTCTCTTCAGCTTGGTCTTTGCTCTTGCTGCGGCTCTTGCCAGCGCTACGGCTGCGGCTGCGGCTCTTGTCCTTGCTGGGGCTCCTGCTTTTCTCCTTCTTGCTCCGGCTCCGACTCTGGCTCCGGCTCCGGCTCTTGCTCCGGGAGCGGGAGCCCGACCTGAGGAGACATGGGATATTGTTTGTCACATGTGACTTTATGCTAATCAGGAGATAAAAAGATCAAAGGGCATACATGTGGAGTTACACCCCCGAATATAAGGCATGGCTGGCACTGGCTGAGGATTGCTTTCTGAACCCCCACAATGCCAATCAGAAGCTGGAAAAACTGGCCAGGTGCGGTGGCTCACACCTGTAATCCCAGCATTTTGGGAGGCCAAGGCAGGCAGATCGCGAGGTCAAAAGTTCAAGACCAGCCTGGCCAACATGGTGAAACTCTGTCTCTACTAAAAATACCAAAAATTAGCAGGCCGTGGTGGCACACGCCTGTAATCCGAGCTACTCAGGAGGCTGAGGCAGGAGAATCGCTTGAACCCGGGAGGCAGAGGTTGCAGTGAGCAGAGATCGCGCCACTGCACTCCAGCCTGGGTGACAAAGCGAGACTCTGTCTTGGGGGTGGGGGGAGTTGGAAAAGCAGAGGTGAAGGAAGACTGGTCACATGACTGAAATCTAAAGTGAGGCTGTGCACAGTGGCTCATGTCTGTAATCGCAGTAGTCTGGGAGGACTATTTGAGGTCATGAGTTTAAGATCAGCCTGGGCAACACAGTGAGACCCTGTCTCTACAAAAAATTAAAAAATTAGCTGAGTGTGGTGGTATGTGCCTGTAGTCCCAACTACTTGGGAGGCTGAGGTGGAAGCGTGCTTGAGCCCAGTGGGGTGAGGTTGCAGTGAGCCGAGGTTGCAGTGAGCCATGATTGTACCACTGGACTCCAGCTTGGGTGACAGTGAGACCCTGTCTCTTTGAAAAAAAAAAAAAAGGAAAAAAGTGAGACAGGGTACAGGCATTACCTGCTGACCACCTCCACTTATACCATGGAAGACATACCTGGACCGGGATCTACTCTTAGAATGACTGCTTTTGCTGCTGCCACTTCGGCTTCTGCTCTTACGGGAATGTCTGCTTCGAGAGCGAGACCTAGGGGGAGAAAATATTTTTTAATACTTGCTGACAAAAGTCTAGCTGATAAGCATCAATCAAGACGTATATATACATATATATATATATTTTAGATGGAGTTTCATTCCTGTTGCCCAGGCTGGAGTGCAACGGCGTGATCTCAGCTCACCACAACCTCCATCTCCTGAGTTTAAGTGATTCTCCTGCCTCAGAAACCCGAGTAGCTGGGATTACATGCGTCTGCCACCATGCCCGGCTAATTTTGTATTTAGTAGAGACGGGGTTTCTCTATGTTGGTCAGGCTGGTCTCGAACTCCCAACCTCAGGTGATCCACCCGCCTCGGCTTCCCAAAGTGCTGGGATTACAGGCATGAGCCACTGCGCCCGGCCAAGATATTTTTTTTTTTTTTGAGACGGAGTCTCACTCTGTTGCCCAGGCTGGAGCGCAGTGGCTGGATCTCAGCTCACTGCAAGCTCCGCATCCCGGGTTTACGCCATTCTCCTGCCTCAGCCTCCTGAGTAGCTGGGACTACAGGCGCCCGCCACCTCGCCCGGGTAGTTTTTTGCATTTTTTAGTAGAGACGGGGTTTCACCGTGTTAGCCAGGACGGTCTCGATCTCCTGACCTCGTGATCCGCCTGTCTCGGCCTCCCAAAGTGCTGGGATTACAGGCATGAGCCACCACGCCCGGCCTGATATTTTTTCAATATGTACAGCACTGGCTGTGTCCAGGCACAAACTCTCTCCTGGGTTCTAGGTTCACAGATGAAGTCACCTGCAAACCTTCCATCTGGATGGTTCACCTGAACCTCTTATCAGCTCCTAAAATTCTAACTGCCCCGATACCTGCTCCTTTTGCTGAGCTCCTTATGTGCACTGATGCCACTGTTATTCATACGGTTCCTCATAACAGAAATCACAGCAATCCTCGGCTCCCCCGTCTTTCCCCTATCCCCTTTACACACCCATGATCATGCCTCCTGATCTTCAGTCTTTCCACCTCTGCTGCTGCCTCCCTGGGCAAGCCACCATCATGTCTCCCCTTGTTCAACAACCAGCCTTTCTGCATGTACTTTTCCCCTTCAGGATCTATTCATCTCACTGTGACGAGAGCTGTTTTAAAGAGACCGACAATCCAAGCTTTACAACATTTTTTTAATGCATCCAGACTGTAGGTTCTTATTTTCTAACAACCAGAACTCCTTGGGAAAATGACTGATTCCAGGCATAAAAGCAGGAAGATAGGCCTAGACCATCTCATTATGACAGAAAGAGGGAAGCTTTCAAAGTTGCCCAGACACCATCACCTATGAAGTATTCTTGCTAAAAATGTTTAACCTGCATCTCAATCACACCTCTTCAGACCTAACTTCCAGTATACAGGAAGTTCAGGGGATAAGATACAAGTTCAATAATACCAAGAAGAAACAGATAAATAATGTGAGATACTATTAAAAAACTAAGAAAAATAAGCCAGGAGTGGTGGCTCACACCTGTAATCCTAGCTACTTGGGAGGCTGAGGCAGGAGGATAGCTTAAACCTGGGACGCAGAGGTTGCAATGAGCTGAGATGGCGCCATTGCACTCCAGCCTGGGCGACAGAGCAAGAGTCCTCGTCTCAAACAAACAAACCAACCCAAACCTAAGCAAAATAAGTGTAATGAAAGGAATTGCTCCAGACTAAAAGCGTGACTACATGAGGTTTTACTACTAAAAACCCCTTGTACTACATGACTGGATTAGATCTTGGTTAAGAAAAAACCCAACTATAAAGAGATCCATGGAATAACTGAGGAAACATGAATATGGCCTGGAAATTTAGTAATTTGATGGAATTACTATTAATGTTCTTAGGTAAAAAAACAGAATTGTGGTTTTCCTCATTTTTGGAGACACACGCTGAAGGATTTAGGGGCAAAGTATCATAATTTCTACAACTTACTGCAGTTGTAGGTAGAATGATAGGATGTCTAGACTTGCCTTAAAACAATGCAGCAGGAGAGGGTGATGTGAAACAAGACTGGCAAAATAAAAACTACTGAAGCTGGAGGAGTGGGAGATGCAATTCAGAGTTCTCCAATGTGGCCGGGCACGGTGGCTCACGCCTGTAATCCCAGCACTTTGGGAGGCCGAGGTGGGCGGATCATGAGGTCAGGAGATCAAGACCATCCTGGCAAACACGATGAAACCCCGTCTCTACTAAAAATACCAAAAATTAGCTGGGCATAGTGGCGGGCGCCTGTAGTCCCAGCTCCTCAGGAGGCTGAGACAGGAGAATGGCGTGAATCCAGGAGGCGGAGTTTGCAGTGAGACCAGATCGTGCCACTGCACTCCAGCCTGGGTGATAGAGCGAGACTCTGTCTCAAAAAAAAAAACAAAAAAACCGGGGTTCTCCAATGCTTCATATATAAATTTCAAATTTTCCATAATAAAAAGTCAAAAGAACTAAACAACAAAACCTGAAAAGTCTCCAATGACTTCTCACTACTCTTCCATTCTTGCTCTGGCCTAATGGTCAGTATATCTGGTCCTTCTCTGCCTTATCTCAAGCCACTCTTCCCATTACCTCTCTATATTAGCTTCTCTACTCTGGAAAACTTTCTCCTGCCCCCAGGCTTTCAGAAACACCCTTTTCTCTGCTAGATAGAAAGGCATTTTCTCGCCTGGCGCAGTGGCTCAAGCCTGTAATTCCAACACTTTGGGAGGCCGAGGTGGGTGGATCACCTGAGGTCAGGAGTTCGAGACCAGCCTGCCCAACATGGTGAAACCCTGTCTCTACTAAAATTACAAAAATTAGCCAGGCCTGGTGGCGTGTACCTGTGATCCCAGCTACTCAGGAGGCTGACGCAGGAGAATCGCTTGAACCTGGGAGGTGGAAGTTGCAGT